GACAGGACAGTTCTATTACAAAACAACACAGGATTTTAACGACCTTTTTCTGACATTAGAACAACAATAATACTTTGGCTTTTCCCTTGAGGTCTAACTAAATAACAAAGCCAAAATTATAAAATATGGGGCAACTTATACCCCACTCAGAAAAAAACTCCCAAGTATTAAAATGAGGAAGTGAGAAAAATATTGTAACAGATTTTAATATTGAAATTACCTTTGGCATCAGAGAAAGGTAAAAATAACAGTAGAATAATCCAATTTCACAAATCAAATCTGCACAACTTTTTTTGTCACATCTAGGGAAAGGTTAAGAGGAAGAGCTGCATCTCTTTGTACACTGGCTTTAGGAAACACTCCATCACTTTCCTATACAGATGTCAACTCACTTAACCAGCCATGGTGCTGTGGAGAGAAATTTATATAAACCCTTCACCCTAAAAAAACCCTTTGCCTTAAAGAAACAACACTTAAGAAATATATAATCTTATAAACTCTGTTTCATGTCTGTCTTCTTGGGGATTTTAAGGTTAATAATGTTTACCTTTATCTTCTGCTGCTGCTTACAATTTAGAAAGACTTCTTTTCTTTACTGTAGTAGATATAAACATAATCTATCTATAATAATTAAATCATCAGCCTGTTCTGCTGTCTCAAGGTAAAGGCTGAGCTTCTAGGCCATGGATTAAAAAAATCTGTTTTGAAGGGTTTTTTTGTTTTTTGCTTGCAGGATTTTATTTAGTTTTATCAGTTTTCTTCACCATGTAATCCTACCAAAAGCTGTGTCAGCACAGCCTAGGGTAGTAGCATATTGCAGCATGGGAGAAGGAATGTACATTGTCTGTGAGATACAGGAATACTTTAAAATGAAACTTGTCCTAAGGTGGGTTTTTTTAAACACTGAAAATTGTTTTATACAAATGTATTTACAATGAAGGCCGTGATTTATTTAATCATATAAAGTAGCTTGGCATGTGTATTACAATTCTGTCTTCTCAGAGTAGAAAAAATTTCCTATCCCAGGTTTGGAGGTGTCAGAATGATGCCACCAAAGAGATAATTCAACCATGTTGCTTCAGGAAAGGCATTCTTTAATGGCAATAGTAGCCTGAGGAATTGCCACACTCATTCCCCTTCCCTGACTCCTCACTGTGTGGCTGAGTTGTGCTGGCCCAACATGTTTCTGGCTGTGATGTTCAGCAGATAGGGAACAATTGAAAAATCTTAACAATATTTACATAATGAAATAATGTAAAATAACAGTATTTTTTAAAATTTTAAAATAACACTATTTTTTAAAATACCAGTATTTTTACATATAAATAAATTTAAAAATAACAGTATTTTTTTTAAAGCCAGGTCATCTCCTTTATCTCTTTTGCAGAACAGGTGCATAAACACTTCTGGGAGCAGAAGTGAGGAAAATGTTGAAGACTAAGGAGAGAAATACCTCTAAGGTGGAAGGGTGGCAGAGGAATCAATGCTGACTTCAGGTATTGTATCCAAAGATATAAAAGCATGAACAGCAGTCAGAAATAAAATACCAACAGAAAGCTCAGTGGGCTTTTACCTAGATACATCCACATACAGCTGGCCTGCTTTCTCGCAGCTGGAAAATGAATTTGCTTTAATATCATTGAAATCTTTTAAGGTGGCTTCTGTATCATCTGAATGTTAAACATTTACACTGTTTTCCAGTCAGAATAAGTAAGTAGCAAGATATAAATCCCATGATTTTCAAGGACAGACATTTCATTGAGGAATTATTACTTTGGCTTAAGAGTAATAATGACCTCTGGTTTTGTTGGTTTTGTTGTTTGGTTTTTCTGTTTGTTTGTTTTTTGTTTGGTTTTTTTTGGGTTTTTGTTTTGTTTTTGTTTTGATTTGTTTTTTTTTTTTTTTTTTTTTTTTTTTTTTTTTTTTTTTTTTTTTTTTTTTTTTAGTCAGGAGCATAATAACATAAATGAGAAATGCTGCTCCACAGAGCTGGAGGTAGGAAAATTAAATCCGTGTGGCAATCTGTAATGCCATTTGATGCACAGGGTAAAACTTGGGCTTGTCATATCAAGAATGTGAGAACAATGTAATGACATTACATAAACTCTGTAATTATTTTTTTAATTGATCTACATGCTCAGGAACTGATCTATAGGTCTCCTCCCTCATCACGAGTTGATGCAGGGTGTTATTGAAACCTCCTGTTTGATTTCTGTGAGTGTGTTCCAGTACTTGAGCAGTGTATCTGTGACCATCTATTAGGCTGAAGCCTATTACTCTAATTAATGGTAATGGCAGTAAATTTATCAGGACTTTAAACAGTTTTAGGAAACCAGGTGTTTGAATGTAAAATCAGAAACTTGAATGTAAAATCAGAAATTTGAATGTGTGTGTTTAGCTTTTGATTATAAGTGCATACTCCACTGCACGCTTGTTCTTTGTAATCAGGCATTAGCAAGGATCAATAGCAGCTTTTAAGAAAAAAAACCAAAACATTGAATTCCTCACACCACTGGGAATCTTTCCTTATGTCTTCTGAGCTTTAATTCATTGTAAAATGGAACTGAACTTGCTGGTTCTATTGACTTCTCTGAGAAGTGCTGTGGCATATTACAGTTTACACATGTGAAAAACAAACTGTGTATGTGCATATTGAGCCTGCTTATTTGTATATGTATATATGCATATATCTACATACAGGTAAATATTTATGGAAATAAATAAAAGTATGTTTACTTCTTTTATTTCCACCATCATCTAATTAGCCACCATAGATAAAAAAATAGTCAAATTAATGTGAATTTGGATGAAAAAGCATTGGCAAGTATTAGGATTTAGCAATGTGAATCTGCACCATAGCTTAGAGCTGGGAAAATCCTGTCAGGTTATTCTAAGGAAGCCTCCAGGCCCCTTAAACACAAAATGTGTAGTTTTAAATAGCACAGCATAGATTTAAAAAGGGTCTGAAGGCAGCACTAGTCAGATCGTGGTGTTGCCATAGCAACAGACATTGAAATTCAAAATATGAAGTAAAATGGGGGTGGGAGAAAAACAAGGGTAGAGAGGAGAAAAATAGCAAGTAATAATGAAAATCCCTAAAAAGAATATGAAAATAAGACTTCTGTAATCAGTGATAGAATAACTATAATATCTTAACTCTGCTTACTATTATTTGCATTTTTTCACCTTTTCCACAGAAAAATTTGAAAATACTTTGTAAATATTAACAATCTACACCTTCTAATATCCTGCAACGAAAGTGTTGATGTTGTCATTTACAGATAGAAATACTGAGGCAGGAAGTGCTTTGCATAAGTAGAATACCTATGGCAGAGGTAAAAAGAGAGTTCAGCTGTTTGCTTAGCTCTGTATTCATGTGCTTTTTGCTTCATTGCTTTAACATACCTCAGTTTTATGATGTTATTATCTGGATATGCAATAGAAGAACCAGAATAATTTTCGTAAGAGCGGTAGCAACATCATTCTCTTTCTGACACAAAAGCTCTGGTGCTTTAATACACATTTGGTATAGTTATTTAAAGGTTTCTTGGTATGTCCTTACAATGATAATGACAGAAAATAAGAAAAGAATGAGTAAATATTAAATTGCAATTTTTTTCAAAGACATTCAATAGTTCAGAAAAAGACACTCATTTATGCCTAATTCATCAAATTACTGCAGCAAATCAAATTTAACAGGAAGGAATTAATACACCTTTGTTGAGGATCAAGGAAACATACTGCAGGTTAAAAGCCTGAGCTAATGTTTTTGTTGGGTTTTCTTTGAAATTTTATTATTTTATCTTTCACAGACATCTCTTTTCAGTCTTTACTTCTGAGTATATATATCAGATTAATCTTTCTGTATTGCTGACTTGTATATAATATAATTCTATAGTATATCCAGGAACTTTATTTAATCTTGAGTTTTGCAGTGACTCCCATTTTACTTTGGCACTATAATAAGGAACTTTCATCTCTCTATTTCCTACATTTATATTTCCCTTCCAGGCATGTAATTTAGTTTACAGTCATTATTCTTGAAGGAATATATGCTACAGTATGTCTCCTAAGAATAACTTTGAGGTTTTTCAACATCAGTATCAGCAGTATAGAAAAACTGATAACTTGCATGTCACATCCAGGAATTTTAGGCAATGAGCCATAAACAAAGAAACTAGATAAAAGGTAGAAAAGAAGCATTCAAAATTATGAAATATGCTGACTGAATTACAGACTTGCAGTATACCAGAGGAGTTGAAGCAAACAGAAGAACAATGGGGAAAATAATTCTTGAAACCTATAGGTTACAAGAATAGGACAAGAGTTTTACTATTTAAGAAGTAAATCTCTGGTATTTCTAGGGTCACAATGGTGGGTGGATAGATTATGATAGACTGACAATTTTCTAGTAGTGGGAAAACCAGAAGAAGCTAAAGCATGAGCTTACAGAAAATGAGTAATGTGAGAGGTGAAGAACAACCCAGGATACTGAACTCATTTCTTCAGGTATTTTTATCGGACAGCTGCTATTGTTTCAGGTGTTTCTGCCATGGAGTACTCTGCCTGGTAGCTGTTGTGGAGCTGCACCATGGAACCTGGCATGTGTCCAGGTTCTTGCCCAGTTTCTTTGGAGGCAGTTTTGCAGTAAGTTCTGAAATAATGGTTCAATGCCACCATTGTCCAAACCTGAAGGTTTAAAGTACTGATGCTGATCACCTCTGGTCTAACATGAAGATATAATGTGCAGGAGTTAACATTAGGAACTGCTGAGGGCAGAAAGGAAACTTTGAACAAGGTTTATGAGGGAAACCCTCCTGCTGCATCATGAGGTTCAAAAAGGTTCTGGCTTTCTAATGTTCTCCTCAGAGAGAAAACTAGGTGCGGCTAGATTCAAACCCAGTCCCAGACTTGGTCAAGAGTTTATGTCTGAAGATATTTATAGGCGTAATTGAACCCTAGTACAACTTTATCCTGCACAGTTAAGGATAGCAAGCCAATACAGAAGAATTATTTGTTTTATTTAATAATAAAAATGCTTAGACAAAGGATCTTAATCAGAATTTGTTACTACACAGTGAAGACAGTATAACTACTAGTATAGTGCACAATTTATTGAATACTGAAGGAATAATATTAAAGTCAGCAAAACAATTACTAAACAGAGATTGATGTTATCCATACCAACAATCGAGGGCAAATCTCTTCTGCTCAGCCTTGAGGAGTAGCCTTCAGGGGCATCTCCATTAAAGGGTGGAATAGCCACAGTCACTCTGAGAAGTGGTGTGTTAGAATTCCCTGCAATTAAAAAGAGGGGCTGGGCTTTTGTGCTACAAGGTGATTCACAGCCAGATGTCTCTGGGCCTGCAGCATCACCTCAGCAGCTTGAGATAAGTTATCAGCATTATCACTTGATGGCGCCTCTAATGGCAACTTCACCTGGCACATTGTCACCAGTGCCAGTTTCCATCAGGTAATGTTCTTCACATCCTCAGAATGTTTCACTTTGGGACTGATGGATCAGGCTGATTCTTCAACACCAAACACAGCATGAGGCCCCTTCCCCATCAAATATTGATAATTTTTGCAAATAGGGTCAAGTTTGAGCTGTTTTACCCCCAGTTAGGCAGAGCATCCTGCTACATGAGCAAAGGGGCGAGGCTGGAACAAAGTACAGGTGGAATGTGTTGAGGCAAGAACACATCCATTTCCTTGATCCTTCTCTTCTGGATACTTGCAGGAAGCAGCTTCTCCAAATTTGTACTTAGGCAGTGGGCCCTGGTTCAGGCTTGGGAGGAAAAGGGCAAAGAAAATATGTACTGGGCTGAATGAAAGAATGTGTGCAGAACTGGAAGACTGGGATAGGGAGGATCCTTTTACAAATAAACTTGCTAATTTGGATTTTAATTGCAAATGGTGATAAACTTCTAAAGCTTTTTGTATTCAATTAATAGTTGCACTTTCTATGTAAAGTTAACAATTTGATTTTCAAAATATTTTTCATATATCTACACTACACTGCAGTGACTATAGTATAGGAATATCTCTTTTTGATCTTTATTTTAAAAATATATGAAAGCATTGGGGAAAGCCAACCCTGTTACATAAAAAATCACATAGAATCTTTTCTTCCTCAAAAATAAAGTAGGTTCTTCGATAAAATTTAAAAATTTCTAATCAGAAAACTAATGATGAAAGGTTTTTCTACCCTCATACCATTGCCCACCAGTTTTCACAAAACAGAATTGTCTCAAGGCCAGGTAAACTACTGAACTGTAGACAAAAATCATGCAACATCTTCTGCAAGCACATGAGACCCATAAGATGCCTGCCCAATAACACAGTCTGAGTTTGAAAATAGCTGAACCAAGACTGGCTCAGGTTGTTTGCACCAACATTTTTCATAAAACACTCTAACTGATTACTTCTAACCACGAATTCAGTATTAGCATATAAGACTTTTATCCCAGATCTAACACAGCTGGAAATCTATAAATATAAATTACATCTTAAACCCCCATTTTCTACTACAACTAAATAGGCTTTTTTTTTCCTTCAGTACCATGCAAATTTGTTTATTACTGCATATAGGTCTCAATTTGCCTCAAGGTGCATAGAGATGAGGTACAAAGGAATGTAATTTTTTCTTATTTGATAAGCAGGTAAATAAAGGAAATTATGTTTATAAACTGTTTGGGAAGACAACATGGGGATGGCTTAAACAGAGGTAGAAAACTGCACACACCAAAGTTTCATTAGTGGTCTTTGAACACTTTGGTCTAAAAAGAAGCCATGAACTGGAATATGACTGCTGTGTGCATATTTCTGTTTTTAGGGTCCTGAATACCAATCACTACCAACCTCTCAGAAGAAAAAAACGAACAAACAAACAAAAAACCAGGATACCTCTAAGCTTAATCTAAACTGTTTAATCTAAACTGTTAAGGGGCTCTTCAGTATCTGTGAAATAGATTTTGCAATCAGATTTTGTTATTGCAACTTCATTAAATTGATTTTTTTAACATTTGCTTTGAGCATGATCTATTATAAAAGACAATATAAAAAGCTTAAAAATTAATGGATTTTCCTGAAACCTATAACCTATCAAGGGTTTTTTTCCCTTTTTCTTGGAAATTTTTCCCCCTCCTTTTTTTCCCCATCTTTCTTCCCCTCTCCCATTTTTCTCTCCATTCTTTTTTGCCCTTCAGTTTTCCTTCCAGTTTTTCTTTCCCCCTTTTTTCTTTCATTCCCTTTTTTTCCTGTCAGCTTTTTTACTTCTTTTCTGCAATTTTTTCTCTTCCTTTTGCCTTCTTTTTTTCTTCCATTACCCACCCTTCTTTTCACTTTTTTCTTTTTCGTCCCCCTTTTCTATTTTTCCTTCCTTCCTTCCCCCCTCCCCCTTTTTAATTTTTGCCCCATTATTTCCCCACTTTCTTTTTTCCTTCCACACCCAATTCTTTTTTTTTCCCACCCCCTTTCTTTCTTCACCTCTCGCTGCCTCTCTCTGGCGCTGAGCTGCCAAACCAGCAAATCGCAAGGATTCCTTGTCCACCTGTCCGGGCAGCCGCGGATCCCAGGAATCACTCCCAGCATCTCGCACCGCTGAGCCTCACACGCCTCCCTCCTGCCGCCGGCGTGGGCAGCAAGGGTCCGCGGGGTTGTCCCCAGCAGTGTCCCCAGGGCTGTCCCCAGGGCTGTCCCCAGGAGTGTCCCCAGGGGTGTCCCCGCTGTTGTCCCCAGCAGTGTCCCCAGGGGTGTCCCCAGGGCTGTCCCCAGGGGTGTCCCCAGGGCTGTCCCCGCGGCTGTCCCCAGGGGTGTCCCCCGGGCTGTCCCCGCGGTTGTCCCCAGCAGTGTCCCCAGGGGTGTTCCCAGGGGTGTTCCCAGGGCTGTCCCCAGGGGTGTCCCCAGGGCTGTGCCCAGCAGTGTCCCCAGGGGTGTCCCCAGGGCTGTCCCCACGGCTGTCCCCAGGATTGTCCCCAGGGGTGTCCCCGGGGATGTCACCAGGGATGTCCCCAGGGCTGTCCCCACGGCTGTCCCCAGGGGTGTCCCCGGGGGTGTCCCGTTGTCCCCAGAGCTGTCCCCAGGGGTGTCCCCGCGGCTGTCCCCAGGGATGTCCCCAGGGGTGTCCCCGGGGGTGTCCCGTTGTCCCCTGGGCTGTCCCCAGGGCTGTCCCCAGGGCTGTCCCCAGGGCTGTCCCCAGGGCTGTCCCCAGGGCTGTGGCGCCGCGGGGCCGCGCAGCCGGGGGCGGGCGCAGTTGCCGGGAGACGGAGGCGCGCGTGAGGCGTTGCCGCGGGAGCGCGCCCCCCCCCCCCTTCCCCCCGCGCCCCCCCGTGCCCGCGCGCGCGTCAGCGGGAGGCGGACCGCGCCGCCATTGGCCGGCGGGGCGGCGGGCGGCGCCGCGCGCATTGGCCCGCGCCGGGTCACGCGGGGCGGGCGGGCCCGTGACGCGCGCGGCGGCGGAGGGGGCTCGGCTTGTCAGGTAGGGACCGTCCGCGCGCGCCGCCCGCGCCCCCGCCCGCGCCGCGCCCGCGAAGCGGCCCGGCCACCCGCGCCCCGCCGGCGCCGCGCCCGCCCCGCCCCGGCCGGGGACCCCCGGGAGCACCGGGAGCGCCGGGACCCCCGGCCGGCACCGGGACGCCGGCGGGCCCCGCGCCGGCTGTACCTGCGGGCGCGGCGGGGCGGGGCGGGCACCGGCGCCGCTCGCGTTTCGCTCCGGCGGGGCGGCGGCGGCGGCCGCATCCGGTCGCGTCCCGGTGGCGTCCCGCGGGGAGGTGTCAGAGGCGCCGCTCGCCCGGCGGCGGCTCCGCCCCGGCGGGTCAGGGGCAGCGCGGCGGGCGCGGGTCCCGCCCCCTCCCCCGGTCCGCCGGCGATGTCCTGGCCGGGGGGAGGCAGAGGGCGGGTTCGGCCCCGGTCCGGCGGTGCCGGGCCCCGGTCCGGCGGTGCCGGGCGCGTCTGCTCCCCTCCCGTTCTGCGGCCGGGCTGGAAGGGTCTGGGAGTAACGGGAGGACGCGCTGGGTACCGCCAGGAGCTGCGATGTGTGACCATCCCTGCTTCCCAAAAAATGCAGCAGCCCCGGGGAGTTGGTTTGGGGGTTTGTGATTTTTCCCTCATTGGTGCCGCCTGACAGTTCTGTACAACACAGCGGCTGCCTGCATGAACTTCTGCATTAGTGTTGGACCTGCATGGTGAGGCCTTGTCAGTGTCGCTGCCCTGGCGCTTTTTGCGTGCATTCTAATGCTTTGTGTGTTTGAGATTTTGGTGTTTGTACGTGTACTGTAATATTCATATTTGGTGTTCGAGAGTATTACACCGAAGGGCGTTAACCTCCGTTTTCGTGTTGGAGTATCTTTCTGTTTGGTTGGACTTCACGTGAGCATACACCTCTGAAGTGACACATCCTGTGTGAGCACCAGGATGTTTTGTAAGACCTTTAAAACAAGCCAGCTCATTTTCTCTTTGCAGGACAGCATCATTGCTTTTGAAGTAGGAGAAATAACTTTTCCCTGCTTTGAAGCAGACCTGCTCCAAGTGGCTTGGTGGTCTGCTCTGTTGTACTGCAGATTCCTTCAAGAAGTTGCAGTGTGAAAAAAGAATACGGATGATGATGTGTGAAACTGGACCAAAAAAATTATTTGGTCTTAAAATAAGTTTATTAAAATGAGTTAATCCTACTTGCTAATAATACCTAACAAGGAGATTGCTTCTACAGTTTATTTTATACAGTGGTAGTCTTTGAGAATCTCAGAGAGGTGGGACATTCAGACATCATCTGCTCACAGTCAAAGCAAATTGCAAATTATGGACACATTGTAGGTTGAGTTAGAGCAATGATTATTGTTGGTGAGACCAGTGTATGTTCCCTCACCTTACAAATTCCTTGAAATGTGTTGACAGAAATTGTCAGTACAGTTAGAACTTTAAAATACACATGCATGGAATGTTAACCCTAGTAAACTTGGGCTTTGGAGTTATTTCTTGGAGGGAAAAGATCAAGTCTTGTATGTACAATGTTATGTATGTATGTACAATATTACTTGTATGTACAATATTACTTACTAGTGGAGCAAAAGCTCAGTTATCCATCACATTTCCTGATTCTCTCTAACTGTAACTTCATGTCACAACTGAGTCCTTTGTCCTTTGTCAGTTGGTATTTGGATTGCCAGTGTATAAAGTGATCATGTAGAAATAATTCTGACACTTGAAAGCAAGACAGGCCAGAGAAGGTGATGAACCGAGTATAGAGAACAGAAAATTTCAGTTCCTCTGGAGTTGTTTGATAGAGCTTAAAGATTAGCTGGCAAAAAAGATAAAAGAATGTATCAGTGTGTGCACAGGATGTGAGGCCAATTTCAATATCAAAGAACTTAAGTGATGCGAAGGTGAGATGGGCCTTTGTTAAGAGAGAATTTTCTTCACTAGTAAGAGATATTTAAGAGCATAAAAAGGAAGTAAGGTTTGGCTGCAGGAGATACACTGCAGTTAGGTAAAATGGTATGTATTTCCATACTTGAAATGTTCAGAGTTCAGTGTCATTCTTCCTGCCGTGGAGAGCAGTGGTGCTTTGGTGGTACGAAGTTATGTTGATGCGAGAGCGGGCAGGCATCTGGTGGCCTGTTCTTTGTCCATGGGAAATCCCCTCTCCCTGCCCGCTCTGCCCTCCCCACTTGCCGCCCGTCCTCGGTTCCCTCAGTTGGGAAGCAGCAGGATGAAGGAAGATATGTTTGCCATGTCAGGCTGAAGGCGGAGAGAGCTGGCAGCAAGTCCGGAATTGCTCCATACAAGGAGATGGGCTAGGAGCATGAGGTCATCACTTCACAGGGAGGAGTTTTTTTTGCAGTGTGTGGAAAGTAGGTCTAGGGAAAGAGACTTTTTTGCTGGCGGGGAGGAGAAGCAAAGCAGTAAGAGAAGAAAGCCTAAATGCATTACAGTAGGACGTAAACTGCATATATGCTCCTACTCTCAGATAAAACTGTCTGCTCAATCCTGGCTTAATTATATTGTTGCTGTATCCGCCTTGTGAAAATGGATTTCAAAAACCTAATGGAGGGCTTTATTCTACAGTAGAGATAGTCTTGAAATTGTTGAGTATTCACCATTTTATTAGGGAGTTAAAGGATTTAAAATTTGGAGCATGAAAATATGTAGAAAGTTTCTGCAGTTTAACATTTGTTTCAGGTAAATGTAGCATTTCTTTACAAAGGTTTATTTTTGAAACTTTTTTGCAGTAGTGAATCAGTGAAATTCATGGCTTTGTTTCTTTGTTTCCAGAGTTTGAGAGAAGGTAGTCGCCTCTCATTTTAAGAGCTATGTGTATGGGCTCACAGACGTACATAGGAAGTTTTTGTAAGGATTCTTAAAAAACAGCGAGAGTCCTTCTAAAATGGCTTTTATTTTTGTGTTTGGGATTATAATTTTTTTTCTTGCGGGACAGCTTCACTGTATGGAAGGCTTTGATTGCTGTCAGCTTGTAGCATGAAATCATATTTGTGACCATTACTGTAATTATTTTCTATTTTCTCCTGTCAAGTTTAGGTGCAGAGTTCAGTTTGGTGTAAGGAGTCTGAAATAATAGGGAATTTTAAATTCCTGTGTGTTTCCCTGATGATAATAAAAATAAATTCCCATTAATGTAGGGCTTAATGCTGTTTTTAATCTGAATGAGTGAACTGTACCTCATGACATCATTCTACTTTGGATTTCAGATTGCTGTTTGCTTTATAGTAACCAGTTTCCCTTGCATTGCTGCTTTCTACACTTGAGAGAAAGTGCCTGGTACTTTAACCGCATGTAATTTCAAACTGTCTTCTTCATCTCTGGGTTTCTTACTAACCTGCTTACAATAACCAGATGTGTGCCATAGCAGTTTGTAGAGACAACCCTCTGTATTCATAGCTTTACTGCAGTTCAGCGTCTGATTTCTGTCCCCATGTACAAGTTTGACAGAATTACTGATCTTTGGAGCATGTTAGTTGGCTCTTTAGAACCTTGTTGATGTTGTGGGCTTGCACCTTGAGCAAAAAGGGTATTTTGTTAGGATTTCTGATATGTCTGCTCTTATGTTCTGCTGAGGAGACAGTGCTTGGGCAGTATTTCATTCAGGTTGTCGACAGGGTGTAATGTGTAATGTGGAGTAACAGCACTAATTGCATCCTATGAGAGCTTTCTGCCATGTAGCTCTCTATTAGGACAAACACATGCTGTCACCTGTTGAGGGGGAAATAGGACAATCATGTTAATCTGTTCTTTAGCTATGCTGTACAACACTGCCTGCACAATACTGTAGTCCACTTGCAACTCTCTTAGTATGAGCTAGTAAGAAAATATTTAATGAATAAGTATTAATGGTTCTCACATATTTGGCATTTTTCTGTATGGCATTCAAATCTTGGTCTGAAGACGGGTAATAGAGTCACAACTTCATACTGTGATTCTGTAAGTGATTTATTTCAACATGAGGAGCTGAGACATTAAGAAATTGTGCTTAAACGTAAAACTAAATTACCATAATTAAGACTGAATGAAAAATCAGTTATCATGTAAGTCGTGGCAACTTGTGAAAAGTTTGTGAATTGTTGTGTATTACATAAGCACTCTTTGCCAGAAGCAGAAGTTAAATCCAGAGCAGTGTTAAAGTGCATTAATCACGAGCCATTTGTTCCTTAAAATTGCCTGTTGAGAATATGGGAGACACACAATTATAGCAATGAGCCTGGTGAGAGTGGTGAAGATGAGCCCCTCTGACAGAGTGCTGACAGTCATACTCAGAGCACTCCATCCTCTCTAATAAATGGGTTGGGCATTTCTAGGGAAAAGTGCTATGAAAGTAATTACACAATCACATAGTGCATATTCCAAACAGGGTGGAATTTAGGTTTGCATCTTCATTTTGTGAGTCTCTTAATTTCGTACTTGGTTTGTCAGCTTTGTTGCTTTTTTGCCAGTTCTGTTTATGCCTAACTTTTTGCTTTAGAAAATTTGGAAAACCTTACTCCATGCATTGAAAGCATATTGTAGCTTACATTATCTTTCATCATATTTGTAATGTTTGCTGTTTCAATTGAGAGTGGCAGTTATAAGTTGTTTTCTCTCTTGTAATAGAGAGCTGGAAAGGACATAGATTTAATGGTGATTTAGCAAGACAGGAATTATTTTATTGAATATTTGGTGCTTTAATACTCGGACAAAAAACCTATCAATAATGGCTGAGCTGGTAGGGGTTGTTAGCTGCAACACTTGTAAATCACAAAATTCACCTTTGGTAAACCTATAAACAAGTAGGAGTAGCATCATAGAATCAAAAATCCTGATTTTTGAATACAGATTTTTGAATAAAGCTTGTTTTATCTGCTCTTACATTGAATAAATTTGTTAAATTATGATCACTGTAGTGTATTGCTATTGTGTCTGCTCAGTACAGCTTTTTAGAATTATGCTAAAGCTTCCTTTCTATATTTTGTGTGTCTTTCAGATAGCATCTGACTTCTTAGTTGTGGCTTCTGCTTTCAAATGCTCATGAGTGTAAAATAATAACCCACAGCATTTGTACTCTAGGTTTCAGGAAGTATAGATAAGGGGTACAGTCAAGCGAAGTGGTTAAGTTCAAAAATATGACAACTTAAGCTTTTTAAAACAATCAGCGAAATGTGAGAATTGCAATGTTAAGAAAAATTGTACTACTTAACAGCAGCGTTTTACAGATTAAAAAGTAGAAAACACGAATCAGAAAAACACATCCTTGTTTATTTTAGGTATATTTGTTGTATGCCAATGCTGTGAATGCTGCGTTACCTCCCAGCTTTTCTGACATTTCCATGATATGGTTCATAAACTGAAGTTTATCAGATAAAAGGAAATGCCTGATTTGCCAAATACAGAAAAAATGTTGGCAGTTGAAGTGTGCATCTGAAAAAGCAAACAGTTCTAAAGGGTCTGTAACAAAGATGGAGGAAAGCTATATAACTTTTGCCCTTTGGGTTAGGTGAATGTTGAAACTGGAGTGCAGAATCTCTAATCAATGAATTTGTTAAGTAATTTTGAAGCTACTATTATAAGAAATTTAATTGGCATCTGAAATGAACAGGGTCTATGCCTTTATTAATGTTCAGCTCTTTATTGAAAAGTCAGCTCGGCAAGGGGCTCAAAAGGAGCTCGCCCCCGCTGTTGTAGCTTCTCCGGTAGCCGAAGGGTGAGAAGGCGTGCAGAGTCTGTCCCTGCAGTCTCCGTGGCACACTGGTAGCTGGAGGTGAAGAGGTGTGCAGTCTGTATCTGAAGTCCCAGCAGACCGTCCTCTCTCCTTTCCTCCTGGCACACTGGTAGCCAAAGGGTGAGGGGATGTGCAGAGCCAAAGTCCAGCAGCAGCTATCCCTCTCCTTCCATCCTGGTAACACCAGGAAGTATGTGTTCCTTTGTGCCTGCTTCCCACAGCCCAGTCCAGTCTGGTCCTCTGCAGGTTAAGGTGACAGGTCAAACACAGACTAGGGATGGGGTTCCCTTTTCCCCAACCAGCACATCCATCCAGACACCTCCACTGTGCCCAGCCTTCCATTTAGGGGTGTTTTCATCCCCAAAACCCCCTCCCATGATTCTACTGGTCTCCCTATTTTGCATCCCAGTCCTAGAATGGTAGTGTGGGTGGGGTTGTAGGTGATTCCCAGGAGCAATTAGCTAATTAACATTTCAATGTCAGTACTTAGTTCTAGCCAAGTGTCCCAGCCAGGCTGTTTTGTTCATAACAGCATCCAAATAATCTAATTTATCAAAATGAATTTTTTTTTTTTTAATGAGAGAAGGTAATTATATGCCATTCTTACTGAAGTCAAAATCTCAGTTTGAGTCAGTCCTTGTGTCTGGTCTCTTAGTTTTCCATGCTGCATACCTCTGGAGTCAGGTGGTCCCTCTGAAAACCCATAACTGATGGGAATTTACTCCAGGCCCTGCTTCGGACACAATATGGAAACTCGTTGCAGCAGATTTGTGCCCTTTGCAGAAAGTCTTCAGGAGGTATCCTGTCCCTGTATGCCTTGTGTCCCAAGGCTTCATATTTCTGGGAAGCATGTAGTGCATACCCTGTGCAAAAAATCAGTCCAGTGGGCTGTGACACAGTGATTTCTTGTGCTCTAGTATCTCATCACTGAAGTCACTCCATCCAGGCTAGGGGAACCTAAGTGGGGATGTAGAGGTTAGCACTGTGGGGTGTGGAGCTGCCATTTCCAAAACTCTGATTAAGCAGATGGTTGTCAACATTTGGCCATTACAATAGCGTGGCTTGTGTTCCTCTACATAATTTTTTTTCGGATTAAATTGGGATTTCAGGTTTAGAGATGCAGTCAAATTCCCTTTCGTTATCTCAGAGTACGGTTAGGCAAGAATTCTGAGGGAGCTAAATAACCCTTGTCTACAGTACATTATTGTTATTTCTAACTTGTTTCTGAATGATACTGTTAAGAAGAATATTGTCCTTTTAAGTCAAATATTGGCTGCCTGGTATAATCTGTGGAAAGAACAGTTTTGAGCAGCAGCAGGAAAGACTGGATATGAAATAATAATCTATTGGAACAAAAATCAGATAGGCTGAATCTTACTTATGCAAATAAATTTCCGTGTGAAGAATCCAGTCTTGCGTGTGCACTTCAGGACCACTTATCCAGACACCTGGAAGATTAAGCCTCTACCACTTTTACCTGTTTGTAGTAGCATCCTTTAATTAAAGCTTATACATTTTCAAATGAAAGTAATATCCTTTAGAAGGAGAGTTCTTTAGAGCTAGGATGGCTGATGATACCCAAACAGAACTGTCTGGAGCTAAGAAAAGAATAGGTAGGTTTTTATATTTTGATATGTATTTGTAGAATGTATGAAATAAATTTTGTTACACACTTAAAGCATGTAAGAAGGCACAAATGCATAGTTCAGTCATCTGCATTTCTGGTGAGAGTAACTGTATCCCATTTAACACAGAGAATTACCATGGTATCTTTTAGGATATGGAGATGGGAAGGAACAGTCATTCAGTTCAGGAACAGCAAACAAAGGCTTGAGGCAGCACCTTTCACAGAACCACACAATATGTTACATTTCCTGTGGTGCTACAGCCTGGAATATCAACAGCTAGGAAGAGACAGAACCATCTCCTGGACCTATGATCCTCATGACCAGTATTTTCTGTTCAAAATACTGTGTAATCAAACTACATTAAATGTGGTACAATGATGCCAAGGAAATAAGTGACCTTGAGAAGACTGAATGAACAGTGAGTTAACTAAGTAGAGGGTTTAATGAACCAGAAGGATGTAATTAGTTTAATGAAGGAGGAAAGAAGAAGAAACCTCCTGATTGCTCTTTCAGTTGCTTTCCAAAGAGCAGTAAATATTTGGAACGAGATTATGTTTCTCCTGAGGAGACCACTGTCGTCATATATTACAGACTAATGGCAGATTTGCTATTTGTTTTTTCTGAAGTGAGACATTCTGGCTGATAATGGGCCATGGGAAGAAATTAAATGTCTCTAGACCTTTAAAAGTACGTCACATCCTGTGGATTTGTCTTTTTCTATGGCTGTTCTTAGATCTTGAGAGCTAAGACAGTGCTACTGGATGAAGCTTCTGGTAGTACACTGGATTTCTAAGTTGAAATGTGCAGTGGCAGTAGCCAGTGAATTTGGGGACCTGAAGTGTTCAGGAGGAGTCTTAGGTGTAGCTTTTGTGATGATGAGAGAACCCCAGTAGGAGTATTCTTCAAACCTGTTCCCCTGAAGAAATGCTTACATAGGCAGCCTTGGCACTGATGGTTTACATGTAGGTTTTCTGTGAGTGTTAATTCCAACTTGCCAAGTATTCATCTCGAGACAGATGGATATCGAGATGTGAAATGCTGCTTTCAGAGGTTCGGGGTATTTTTCAAGTAGAGAAGACTGATTCCTACCTTCAGACTAAAGAACTTGGTAGGTAATTGAAATCTAAATATCTAAGAGAAATCGGCAAAGAAATAAGTTAACGGTGATTAAAATAACTCTTTAGTTGAGATGGTCACTACAGGTGCTTTTTAATTTTAGTGTTGGCTTTTTCCAGAAGTTGTTTCTACCTTCACTAGTAGTCTAAGACAAGAAATCCCTTAAAAATGCAATAGTTTGATTTTTCTTATCTTCTCTTTTTTTACTCAGAAGTTTCTTTACTACTCTATAATGCACACTTTAAGTGAGCTTGAGTCACTGATGTATTTTTTATTCTGGTTTCAATTTGTGGCTAATATTTGGACATATTAACATGATGTATTTCTTTGTAATTCTACCATTCTCTTTAGCTGGTAGAATTGGTTAATAGGGCTGCAGATGCACAGTACCTGCCTGCGATAGTCACTTCTAGCAGCCTTATCCTGCTCAATCCATTTTTCTTTTAGGATCTAGTGTGGTGATATGTGTTGCAACACTGCAGAATTGATAGGTCAGTGAAAATTTGTTGGTCAGAGACTCTCTATTGAGGCCATGCTTTTCTTTGCCTCTCGAGTCCTGGAGCTGAATTTAGAGAAAGTGTAATTCTTGGAAAAATAGAGGAAGGAAAGCTTTTTTTTGTTGTAAACACATGAAAGGTAATGGGATACTAGGTGTGTTTACCTTTGAAAGCAAAAGAAACATGTGTGGCTTTCTTTGTCAATTTTTCAGAGTTAATAAGAGAAGAGTCTTAAAGCATTAGTGACAGGATGTAACTTGTGTCCACTAGACTGGCTCTTTTCTTCTTAACCTGTATCTGCCTCCACCTTCTTGTTTGTCTGCCTGAATTTGTGAGAATTCAGTATGTGTGTATTTAGCTGTGACTGTGAGGTAGAAACTTCTACAGGGTGGAAACAAAACTGATTGAGTAACTGCACGCACCTAAAAAGCACTTCCTGCATGTTTGCTAGCAGATGTCAGCTCTACCCTTTGCCCATTCTTTCACAGAAGGCCTGAGATGATAAAGAACATGCTGAGAAGGTTACCAGACCATGGGAAGTAGCAAACAGCTGAAGGTGGGGTGGAGAATGAGATTACTGTTCAGAATGGTCTTGGAAAATGGGACGTGTCATCTGGAATAAAGCAGGGTTCAGTGAGTGTGAAAGCTCACTGGTTGGCTGTAGGCTGGACAGAATGGATATGTGGTGGGGGAAGAAAAAGTAGAAAAAGAACATGAATTTTTGAATAATGAACAAATAGTGATGTATTATCAAGTTGTTAGAGGGTAAGTACCTGGGCAAGGAGCTTGAAAGCAATTTAAACAAATCTTTCTGTTCTTGTCAGAGTTGGTTGGTCCAACACTGCCTCAGTGATTCAGCTTCAGACTTCTTATGTGAGATGAAGACCAGTTCCAGGTTGTTTAGAGGACAGCTGTGGTTTAGAAAATAGTTTAGTATGAAGGATTGAAAAAAACTAGAATTGTATCTTGTGATTCTGCTTTTAGAGTTTAGAGACATCTTAAGATGGAACTCTTGCTGTTCTACAGATCTGTTTCTTTTTAAAATAAATTTTTATAATAATTTTGTACTGCTTTGTTTCATGGTCCCAGAAATTTCTTTAGGTATTGATTTATCTCATTTAATTATTTACTAGGCAAAGAAGGATATAAGAGCGACTTTTTAAAAATTTCATTTGATGTTCTCAAGTTCTTCTGGAAAACACTTCAGGCATTTGACATACCATATCACTTTGTGCTATAATGATTTTTTCTTTTGGTGTTCTTTGATCTTACACCTGTCATTCTTACCTTTTATGTGAGCTAAAAATTATCTTTTCTCTGTGCGTAAGCTGCTCCATGCTGTGATCAATATTATCTATATCTTCTTTGGTGCTTTATATTTTTCTTTAGCTAGAAGCACTTGGACATACAGGAGTACCATTAATGTATCAGCAGCATAAGGACATGTTATGTTTTTAAAATATGTTATATTTATGTATTATTCTGGATGGTTTCTTACCCGATTGCTTGAAAGCACTGAACAAATGTTTTTCAAAGGTGTGTGTTCAGAGACTGCTACAACTTTTTCTGGTACTGTTATTAAACAACCCTTAACCAGTGTATTATGTTGCATTTATTGACATGTGACTTCATCTGCTGCTTTCTGTGCTTGCTGCTCAGTGTTCTGAGGTTTTTGCAAGTTTTGTAATGATCTGTCGGTTTTGGTGAGTCATAATAATTTTGCATAAAGCACAGATGCTTCTGTAATGATGTATAGGCAGGTAACCATTCTGAAGAGCAGCACAAGTCCTGGCCCAGATTATGGAGAGGCTTCTGAGCTCTTTCTCCTGTCAATCTTTGTCTCTTAAGTCTTACCTTGCAAGGTCTTCAGTTCTCTGGTAGCTTCCTATCAGAGATATCAGCAGAAACTTCTACTTCCAACACGTTTTCCCACAGGATGCTTGATGCCTTCACAGAACTCTTCAAGTTGTGAAACATGATTTTGCTCTGTAAAAGCTGCATCATTCTTTTTTTCATTTGAATTATTCTAGTCTATAAATTCTACCATGGTTTTAACCACCTTGTGCAGTATCAGAGTTAAACTGTGTTGTGCTTCTGATTGCCTTGTCCCATCTGAAGAAAATTTGATATATTTTATACTCTTGATTCTTCTTTGCTTGGCTCAATTTAAGCCTAAGTTTTTGCAGAATTAATATTTTGGAAATTTGATAGATGTTGCTTCAATACTTTGGCTCGATAGCATCTGACTCAGGTGAATTCTTACTATTAACTTGATATTTGTAATTGCCTCTCGGATGCTTCATTTTTAGAAAATGCCTAATACATCCTAAATGTAAAGAGGATGTGATTTGGGGATTTGCCTTAACTGTCTTGTAAGTAATTTCAGAAGACAACAGGTCATCTAAATTTTCTGTTCTGTCTTTATCTTCTTATAAGTTTGTCTTTTATACCTTCCTTAGCTAGTGAATTATTGCATTGAGGTAGCAACATGTTTGTAACTATCAGATTCAGCTATGTTTGGGCTCAGAAATATCAGTGGAAGTGTTGTGAGATTTTATTGCCCTCTGGCTGATGGCTGTGCGATTCACTGGAAAGCTTTTATTATGCTTCCATATACTAGCTAGTGTATGTCTATCAATTAGACCTGTGTTGGACTTGCATTACCAGGTTTAAGTTCTACTAATGACCTGTGTGCAGATGAAAAATGCACATAGGTAAAAAGTTAATAGTAACTGGAATTCTAAAGAAAAGTTGGTTTTGAATTTAGTTTTCATATTGAAAAAACAAAATTTTGCACTCTAAAATACATGACAGCGTAGTTCTTTAAAGAGAGAAAAAAAGGTGTGTCTTTGTTTGTGTTCAGGGAGCAGAAGATAGAACGTTTTTGTGTTGAAGTGGTTCCAATCTGTTGTTTCATTTGATAAATGGATTTTTTATGGGCTTCGTTTTACCACGTGCAGTTCTTAACATCTGTATGAAACTTGAATGTGCCCAGGTGCTGGTGGTGATGTTTGTTCCACTTTCACGAGGCCCATTTGAATGGGGATTAGGATTTAGGTTCCTGTCCAGTGACAAATCTGGTGTTTCCACCCCGTTTGTATTTGTGCTAGTAAGATGAGCCAAATTTACTCTAATGTTTTGCTCTTGCTTGTACTTTTTTGCTAGTGGAGGCTTTCCCTTGGGCTTTGCAACTTTGGAACAAATGATTGTATATCTGTTTCTTAGAAGTGTGATGAATTTTATAATGCTTGTAACCGCCTGTGTTTTTTTTCTCCTTTTGTATCTGCTTGCATAGCTGCTGTTCCTTTTCAGTTCCTGAATCTTAGCATCACTTAGACTTTTCTATTTTTGGTCATGGCAAATAGAAGTTTTGTATTTATATTAGGCAGATCTTTGTTTCTCAAATGTCACTAAGTAACCAGTAAGGAATACTAAATAATGCCTTCTTGAATGTGAACTAAGATTGTCCCTGCGTAAGATTTTGTGACCGTGTCTGTGATCAGTGCTTTGTTTTAAATAATGGAGATTTTGAAAATAGTTTTGCTTTCTTCACCCCTACACACTGTGTCTTTCTTTCAGTTTTGCTTTATGTGTTTTTTCCTATGAGGGCGTTGCTAAACTGTTATGGAATGTCTCATCTGAAGTTGGACATTGTAGTGCGAGATTGTGAGTGAATACTTATCATGGGTCCACACACGTAGAGATTATACAGTATACCTTGCACTGTAAGCTGTGCAAAGCTTGTTTCTTACCATTTTTTAAATCAAATATATATTTTTCTTAATACAAATGCTCAAAACCCTTCTGTGTCAGTTTGCTTCGCCTAAATTTTGGTCCAGAGCTACAGTTGAAGTTTTAGTCTTGCTAATCATCCTAACTTCCTGACCCCCTACTTTTCTATTAGAGTAGTTAGAGCCAGATAGAATTTTATGTGTCTTGAGGGGTTCCTTTCTCTTGTTGCCACTTGTTTTCTTCCACCTTTATAAAAATACCACTACTAACTTGATCTTTCATGTAACAAATTTGGGCCTTCTGTACTTTCATTTTTCTTAATAAGTTTCTCTTTTCATTTTACCAAGGGCAAGGTTCATAAATAAATACAATTGTCAGATTTTTCAGCTACAGTACACTTGTCATAAGAAATTCCAAGAACTTAAAAGAAAAATATTTTCTTACATGCATAGAGGCAAAATTATTTCTTCACTCAAAATTATGTGTATGAAGTGATAGCATACTACTGCTAGCAGTCATTAGAGAGATCTGCTCTTTTAGTTGAACTTTTTTTTTTTTTAATAAACCGTCTTCTTGTAATAATCTGAAAATGCAGGGCAATTTACCTAAGTTTGAGTTTTGTAATGTATTTGAAAATGGTGAGATAGTAAAAAGGAGTTTGATATGTTTTTTTTTCACAGAGTCCTCAGAAAAGAAAAAAAAAGTATATTTCAGTAGGCGAAAATCAGAGGAAGTAGCTGCTGACATAGGAAAACTGTACTAAAGGACATTTCTGAAGGAAAACTTTTAAGGTATGTTGACTAAGTTATGCTTTGCAGAAAAGCCTTCCTGAAAATTAGCTGCCTGCTTTGCTTTGAGTGGACCAGTATTTCAAATCAGCTTTGAAATAATCAGGCAAACTTGTGTTACCCCTTCATATGTTTATGGTTGGCAAAAGCTCTGCAGAAGGATTAGTTTTACTAGTTTATGTTGTATACATGATATCTGTATGTACAAAGATGATCTTATGAATATGTGATTAGTGTAAACAAATGGTAGGTAATGCACGTGTTTTGTGTTTCATGGTCTTGTGCATTCCAGGAATGGATGCTACACTAACAGAATGGCAATTGTTTGACTATAATTTTTGTTTAAGGTGTGGATGGAGCGCTGAGAACGATTTATTTCATTGTTTTAATGGAATATTACTACTGTAAGCCTCACATTGAGAAATTGAGAAGAACTGTCTAACAAATTGATAATCTATTGTAAAAATGGTTTTAGTTTGGTATAGAAGCCTTGATTTTGAGGATTTGTCTCCTGAATCCAAATAATCTTTCTTTTCTGATTTTGAGATATTTTTAATGTTTGTAGAAAGTGTTTGCAGAATAAGAGACATTCTGTATTCTTTATGATTTGGAGCCCATGCAAATTTAGGAATAATCTAAATTCATGGTCACAATATGAAGGATGAGAGAATCCAGATCTGAGATGTACTTTCCTATTCTGAATTTAATTAAGAGCCAGGTGTGCTTTCTGGATTTGTAGTTTTTTAGTTGCCTACCTTGTCACTGGTACTGTGAAATCACAAGTTCGAACTGATGCAGGTAGATCCATCATTATTACACACTTACAAAGTCACAGCCTTGGATATAATTGACGGCAATATGTAGCAGAAGACGCCAGTAAGTGTAGGAGAGCATCTTGTGAAAGAGTTGCATTGTGCATGCTCTGTTCTTCCTTGCTCATTTGATTTCAGGCTTTGGTCTGACACAGCATGGCCACTTTCGCATGTCACAGACAGATTGCAATCTTTTAATCAAATGTACATTGGTTATGTACTTTCTTCAGAATTGCTGCTGGAATCCAGTAGCAAGACTAACTGGAATACTGGCTTTATTTCCTGGGGGGAGTGTTACAATATTGAAGTATTATGTGACTAGCAACTTCCTTGAAGTTTCTCAGTTAGGCTGAAAAATTTTAACATTGATTTGTTGGAATCTGACTGCACCACTGTGTTGGTGGTTGAGAGAAATTTTAAGTTGTCTTTGGTAACGCTGCTTAAATTTAGAACAGTTTGAGATCTGGTTGCTCAATTTGCGCTATCTTATTAAATGTACATTCAATGTGTACTTCCTGTGAATGATTAGTTTGTTTTTTGAGCATAACACTATAAAGAAAGTCCTACTTTCTTGAAATTGACTGTGAGACATATTTTACTCCTAAGTTTAACAAATATTTTTTGACTAATTTACATGTGCAGTAATTTTTTTAGCCATCTGTATCTATGTCTATAACAGATATTATATGTCTTTATATATATATATATATATATATATATATATATATATATATATATATAAAATTTCAAAACATAAAAAAATAGCTGAAATTCATTTGTCTTTTTTGGTCGTGCTGGTATTTTATTGCTTTTACAAAATATGCTATAATTCTGTTTGAAACTTGACTGACATGTCAAATTATGTAAGCTTTGTTCACATGTGGAAAAAGAGATAAACCTCATGGGTATCTACCAGAAAGCAGAAGAAATCTCTTCACTGTAAGAGTAAAGCAATTCCTGAAGGCTTTTATTTCTTTATGAATTTCTGTATGAATTTAATTCTGTATGAATTTATTTTTTTGTTTTTATCACCTCTCTGTCTAGCTTGTTTTAAATCATTATGTCGTCTCTGTTTTTTTTCTATTAAGATAAAATACTCTCCCATGTTTTTTTGAGATTTTTTTTTCCCCCAGAATAGCTATCACAATGTTTTTTCATCTTTTGAACATTAGAGAAGAAAGTATGTGTGTGTCTCAAACTCCCCATATCTCATATCAGTTCCACATTAAACCTTTTTTGAGTTCAGATTTTGCTATTTTTGCCAATTTCTCAATTTTGGTTGTAGTCTGTGGTTACAAAATCTGTCTGGGAATCTTTGTCTTTCATTGTGAATATTTTAATGTTGTAGGGTAAAGCCAAAAAATATGGGAATATTAGTATTTCATAATCCAATAGCTGTGAACGTGGGGAAGCACAAGGAGAATCACACCCTGAATAGCAGCCCAGCTAGTTTGCTGTTCTTAAATGTCTTCTGGTACCATGGCTGGAGACACAGGGCTGATCTAAATGCATTACTGTGCCTGAGTCATCACTGTAGGTCCTTTCTGACTGAAATACTCTATTGTATTGGTCTGACCATGTAGGGCAGCTCTCCTCTCTGTGATAATTAACAAGGGAGATAGCAAACTTGGAAAAATACCTGTCTGTATTGGTGCCAGATACTGTATTTTCGTACACCAGCCTTTCAAAATGTGCTTGTGTTTTTTAAGAGTATTTGAAAATCAGATTTGTGTGTTCGTGAGTTTGGTATATCGTACAGTTCTTACTTCAAATTAATGACTGTGTGATCTGTATTGTTTTCAATTGTTTAAAATTACTAAAAAAATTAAAAATCAGGAGTGGTTTTAAGTGACAGAATCGGGTTTTAGCTTATCAAAACTTAAGCTTAGTTAAGTGGCTTAGGTCTTGAATACTTCTTCACTACTTCTTTGCTTCCACAATAAAGTACTTGTATTTGGCTGATGTTTTGATGGAACATTTTCTCAATTTACATGGAAGTGACATGGCAGCTGGCTTACCCATTTGGGAATCATCAGTTCTGAGTCTTTATGCTTGTTAGTTTTAGCAAATCATAATTTTACCACTTTTGCAAAACAATCTTTTACTTTGCTGCTTCTGTCACAGTGAAAGGAGAAATTTAAAACAAAGATTGGAGTCCAGTGTGTGTACAATTTTTGCCTATGCATCTAATGGTGGAATTGGAAAAAAATCTGATTACTGCTTCATGAAGAGCAACTTAGCAGGCTGGAGTAGGATATTGTTGGGTCTTTTGTTCTCCTGATTTTTGTAATCCTAGATCTCCTTTGTAGGTCACTAGAAGCAGACAAATATCACATGCTGAGAATATTTCCTATTTCTCTTGCCATACTGCCTCTCAGTAAAAAACAGAGGCTAGGGTAAAAGCAAGCAAGCCATTTTTTTACTCATAATACAAGGCTGAACTTCACTGTTTCCATCTTTTCTAAATCTGGATGTAAGAAACAAGGATACTACCTTTTCTCACAGCTATTGTGCTAGGAGAGTTAGGTAATGTGCTAAAATGGGGTTGGAGAAAGAAGAGATTGGATCTAGATCTAAAGGGCGTAGAAAATTCACTACTGCAGTTTTAGTCATGTTAATAAACAGGGACTTTTAAGATTTTTTTCTTTGGTTCATGTTGCTAAAGTGTTTGTGGTTATGCAAGAGTGTTCCTCAGTTTTAACTGTGGAGGTATTTTCATAATGCTACTAACAGTGACATAGTTCATAAATACAGCTAACATAAACTATTTACTGTTGCTATGTATGACTGAATTCCTAGCCATCAGGAATAATTCTGATGAAAATAAACAGCTTCAAGTTAAAGATCTTAATGGAAGCTTACAGGTTTAAGGTTGCTCATACAGCTTTGACTTATCTGTATTGTGTAGATACATAGTAATGTGGTGCTGTTCTAGTTTTCTTTTTTGGATCTTTGTTTTGTTATGTAGCATGGTTTGTGTTCTAAGGATAAACACATAGTACATGAAGCTTATTTTAGAGGGTGCTTGAGGTTCTGATTTGCAAAATCTTCAGAAATTTTGTGCAGTAACTGAAGCCAGTAACATATTTATTTTTTCTGAATACCTAACATGCTAAAAATGCTAGGCACTCTGAATAGTTTGTCTTTAAGCCTTGTACATACTGGTATGAGCTGCCACAGTGTTGACATTAGTATGTGTCTCAGTTCTTAATGTAAAATAAGAATATTAGTCCTACTTCCCTCAATGGACCGCTGGGAAGATAAATTTGTTAGTGTTTGTAGAACACTGCTAATTTAAGTGGTAATGTGTAAAGCCTTGAAGAAATTGGTGTTTCTGTGCTAAAAAGAACCAAGACTTTGCTGTAGTGCAGGAATTAGTGAATAGGCAATGTACAGGCTGTGGCTGTGCTGCAGTTCAGAGGTAAGGGTTGCAGTTTATATAAGTTTATCTTACCTAGTTGAAGCTGATTAGTATAGGAATAGGTGGTTGGTGTGTACACAGAAAAAAGGGTTCAGCCCACATTACAAAACCTTGTGCAAGAGTGTGTAGGAATTCCTTGTGTGGTTTGAGCTCTTCCACAACGTAGATGTGTGTTTATCAGCGTCAGATACGGGTATTTCAAAGCTGGCTCTAGCAATATGTCTTTGACCTTTGGTTCTGCTACAGGATTTCATAAGGCAGCATTTCTTATCTGTTTATCAATCTTATTTTATGTCAATTTGGTACAATAAGACTGGACTGTCTAGGGTAAAATGGTGTGAACTAAAGAACTCTGACCCAGGGGACCAGTGTATGGTTGGATGGGAAACCTGCTTTGGGATAGTTTCTGTTTTTTGGGAGGTTGAATCTGCTGGTTTAATGGCCTGCTAACACAGGGTTTTGAAGCAAACTAGCTTCTAGTTATCAGTTTCCCACAGATGCAGTGCCTGAGAGCTGGTGTTTTATGTGGATTTTTCTGTGCTCTTATGACAGTAAACATGACAAACAAAAGTTGCAGGTCAGCAGGAGTAGAAAAATACAGCTGGCAGCTTGTCTGAAGATATTGCTAGCTGTACTTATTTGGTTGAATATGTAGATTGGTCTTAAGTGTTTGTCTTAGATGTTGTTGTTTTCTTTCATACTGTACGTTAGGGAGGGATGTTTTTGCAGGAATGGACACTGGAATTCTAAGGCTGAAATCTTGCAGTCAGAGTTTGTTGTTCAAAACAGTGCTCTGAGCCTACTTTCAGTTTATACTGAGGAGGTTTATGTATGTGGTTAATCTTATGATGAGGTAATTCCAGTGTTTAGGCATCTATAGTTGCTCTGTCTCACCAGAAGTTTTTCTTTTGATAATTGTCTCATCAGTCTTGTTCTCCTTTCAGATGTGGTGAAGAGCCTGTATTTTCCCCTGTGTGGTATATAGTGCCTTAAAAAATGGGGTTTGGAGGTGACCTGAAGTATTCTCATGATGCTCTGTTAAAACTGCAAGACTGGGAACTACGACTACTGGAAACAGTGAAGAAATTTATGGTAATGAGAGTAAAAAGTGATAAAGAATATGCGTCCACTTTACAGAATCTTTGTAACCAAGTAGATAAAGAGAGTGCTTGTCAGTTGGATTATATCAGCAATGTGTCCAAGGTAAGTCTGAAGTTTGAATTTGGAATATCCTTGGGTTTTTTTTTTTTTTTTTTGTTTTTTTTTTTTTTTTTTTTTTTTTTTGTTTCTTTTGTTTGGTTTTTTTTGAGAGTTAATATTGCCAAAGCATTTAAAATGGATTCTTTTAGTTTCTCAGTGAAATATGCAGAAGTTGAGCTCTAGTCTTGCTTTGAAAAAATTAACTGAATGAGAATCAATCCCAATTTTTGAAACTCAGTATTTTGCATAAATGGGTTGAGCCTGCTTCTTTGCTTAGTTCTTTGAAAATCAAGTATGCTATAGTAAGCTTTTCTTTTAAGATAGGAGCTATTGTTTATGTTGTATAGAATTTGTGACAGAAATAGAAAAATGCCAGGAAACCAAGGCAAAGGCTAGCATTCCAGCTGTTACTCACAGTGCAGCATGTGTTGTAAGAACAAAACATTAATTCAGGATGTTTCTCATAATTGTGAGGTTATTTTGTATTCTGTTTAAAATGACTGTGTTGACTTTCAAAAGGTAAGGCTGTCTGTTCTGTCTGTTCCAAATTACTGGTTTTTAGACTTTGAGAAAGTCCAGGTAAATGTAATAATGAAGCAAACTTCCCTTATCACCTGTTTGAAAATTTTACTCTGGACCTGGATTCTCTACTGACAAGAGAAGACTATTCTGTTTTGATGGCTTATTCAGTTCTTGGCCCTTGTTCTGTAGCAGTGGTTACACAGTGCATTCGGTCTTGCATGAATCCTTATTTTCTCTCTGCAGGAAAACACCCTTTCTGGGTCAGGTTAAATTTCAGACAAAGCAGTTTTTTATGTCATGGGCTTATGAGGTGGCTGCTTGGACAATGGCTGTGGTGTAGCATTAGGGACAGGACTGCTCCTTGTGCAGCAGGATGGATGTATACAGGGTTAAAGTGGCTCTGTGTGACTTGAAGGCTGTGCTGCTATAGCTAGGCTGCTTCAGTACTGTGCAGTGTTTATATATCACACATTCTGTTGTTGCTTCCCTCCCTCCCAACAATTCTTGCCTTGCAAATTGAAATACTGCCCTTTTTTTTTCATTGACTCAGAGCATTTAGTGTTATAAGGTTTAAAAAACCATTAACCTTCACATAGGTATCTCAGTCTATGATAGTTCATGTTAATAACATGAGCATTTCTTGTGAGCAGATAAATTGAAAAAATCTGGAGATCTGACTTAAGCCATGTTCTTTCTGGCTTGAAAAGAGGCATGCATGTCACATTTTGAAATCTTGTTTTGAACAGAAGTCCTCAAGTTGTCCTTCAGTATGATTTTAATTCCCTTTTTTTTTTTTTTCTCTCTTAAGGAGGTGTAACTTTTCACTAAGCTGCGTCTCTAATTTCTGAGTTTTCTCTGTTTTCTACATTTTAACAGCAAAAATATTAATCTGAACTGGCAGATCTTTTATATGGGCTTATCTTATAATTTCAGTGACATTTTGGATTTTGTAGTTGTGTAGTGACACATTATGTTACTGATTTTTTGCAGTTAAAAATCCTGAATTATTGATTATTTACTAATCTCATTCCAATTTATTTTAATATTTTGTGGTACCTTTTTCTCTCTTCCTGACATTTTACAGAACCAAAGAATGATGCAAATATTATGGTACATGAGTCTAATTTCTTACATCTTCTAAGATATGAAATACCTGTTTTTGTTATTGTGGTATTATTTGGCATTTTGTGGCATTAAAAACCAATAGCAAGCTGTTTACTTTTTAATGTGTTTTGTTTGGTTGGTTTTGTTGTTGTGGTTGTTTGTTTTGTTTTGATATATCTCTAAGCAAACAGTAAGAGTGAGCACTTAGAGAGAAATGGTGTTTGGGAAAATCTGTCTTCTGTTTTTTTTTTTCATGTGAAGACAACAAACTTGCTGGAAGGCATGGTAGCAGCAACTGGTAATGCTAGAAAAGAGATGTTTTTAAGAGCTTTCAGACTGCACTTTTGTGTGTGTATATGTCTGAAAAATAATATTAAACCAAACAATAATATGTTTTATTGCATTTGCATTTGGAATGTGGTAATTTTTTGTGGAAGGAAATGCTTTACCTTTTCTGCTGTTCCCACCCAGCTTTTTTGTCCCATATAAATCTCTGCTATGGAAGCATTTTCACTTCACCTTCTTCTCATTTAAAGTAATAAAATATAACCATACAAAGCACAGAAATCCTTCTTTACTGCTATTTCCCTATGGAAACATCACTTTCCCCTTTTCCTGATGGAAAGAATGATGTAAATAACAGGGAAATATGCAATTTTTGTTTTTTTTCAATAGAAAGGGAAGTAATTACTATGTTTCTGGCTTATTTAAGCTCATTTGGTGACTTGTAAACTAAGCATTTGCTTAGAATACCTGTACTGTTGAAAAATGCTTTTGGTGTGATTTTTCGGTGTTAAGCAGTAGTTGTCTCATCAGTAATAAATGAGCCTTATAGAAAATGGATGATTCTGACTACATTTTCACCTCTGAGAGCACTTCTGTGAATTGTTCTGTAACTACAAAGGCCCACTCTTCTCACAGAGGTGTTCAATGCTGTTTTATCCTATGCAGCTTTGCAGTATGGCTTCTGAAATGGTCTCCAGCCATAGCAGGAAACCTTCAGGCCTTGACATTTTATAACATTACACTTTAAGCTGTCTAGATATCTCTGTGACAATCTGTGGGATATTTAAAAGCTGGAAGAAATGTTAAAGATAGTCCAGTATATAGGGCAGTCAATTTTCTTTTCTCTAGACTCTTGTTTCTGTTGCAGCATTGTCATGTGGAGATGGAAATATTAGGTGTATAGGTTGGTATACAGGATATAAAGAAACCCGAAAACTAAGAAACAAATTGATTTTCCAAAGTTTTTATCTCAGGTTGATTTCTGTTTTAGTAAGAACCAAGATAAATGCCAATAGAACTCATATGCTAGCTGCCTTCAAAACCTTGTAATTCTGTGGCATGTAGTCACTCTGAAGTCTTAGCACAGCATTCATTGTCAGGGAGTTATCTTTAAGGAATCCAATGTGTGACAGCAATCTTGAGTGTAACCAAGGCTTTTATTTTAACTGAAGTTTAATTTGTGGCACATTTGTGTCTCTGATATCTGAAGAAGCGTATCTGTATTCAAAGCCACACACAGCACATTAAGCTATCGTGAAAACTGGCAGACTGTCCAAGGAAGCTATTAAAGCAAGAGTACAGAAGGATGCTGGGTTACAGTGACAGATGGGTGTTGTGTCTGTCTGTGCTTTGGTGCTGGTGGCCTGACTGATGCTGCTGTGGGAAGCAGCTGATGTAGTGGTGTCCTCTTAAACCACCACTCCTCAAATGCATATTGCTGTCAGGTATTCACTCAAAGGTGTGGAAGGCAGCTTGGGCAGAGCAACTGTGGGGGGGAAAACAGGGGACCAAGGATGTAGGAACATCATTCTTGGGGTATTGGGGTTATATTAAAAAAAATAAGGCTGCGGTGCTTTTATGGGTGTTCAGAAATACTAGGACAGTGCTGAAGGGTGACTATTCAATGCTGTATTTTTGTCTGTGGTGCTTTTTTATGGTTTTATGAATGAGATTGAATCATGACTTTGCAGTTGCAGGAGGATCTCAGATGCATTTGGGTAAGCTTAAAATTAGTTCTTGTACTGATTTTTTTTTTAAACAATAATGCATCTTTTCCCACAATTCTTATTAATTGTTTGGTTGTGAGCTGAAATTATTAAGTGCTTTTCTGTTCTGACTTTTTTATAGTCTTGGTTGCTTGTGGTACAACAAACAGAACAACTGAGCAAAATAATGAAGACACATGCAGAGGATCTTAATTCTGGGCCCTTGCATAGACTTACAATGATGATCAAAGATAAGCAGCAAGTTAAGAAGAGTTTTGTAGGTGTTCATCAACAAATTGAAGCAGAGATGTATAAGGTATTTTATTCATCTGTGCTTGATAAATTGATTATAATAATCTGTGTTTAAAAATATTAAATTAAGAGGATTTTTTTGGGGTTTTGTTCATGCTGTGGTAAGAGCATAGTAGGTGATATATAGAATGCTTAGTTTAAATTTTAATAATTTTCTACACTGATTTTCTTTCCTGATCGCTGATAAGACAAAGATGCAAAAGTTTCTTCCATATGAATTTCTGTGGACAGATACCACTGGAAATGCTCTGTTAGCAGAGGATAATTAATTCTTGTGTGACACTCCTCTATTCCATCTCTTTTCTGTTCTAATTCCCCTCTAGGCAGTCATGGAAATAGGGCACTGTAAACTGTTGTTAATGAGTGCTCTTGGCAGTCCAGACTCTTTTGGGTGGGGACAGGCTGTTCTAGTCCCTGTTCCAAAATATAAAGCAAGTGTAAACCAAACATTGAGGCTGCAGGTGAAACTCTTCAGAGTGTTTTCCATGACATATCTGTTATCCTGCTTGTGTTCAAAGTGCTGTATCTTGTCAGTAAAGCTGACAGAAATCACAGTTTCAGATGCTCTGGGGAAAATGTAGCTACAGATGTCAAAAATCAGAGCAATAGTCTGAAAGGTCTACTGAGAGAAGGAAAAGCACTGTTTCTTCTTTCTTCCAGCAGAGAATTTGGGATTTGAAGTAATGTAATTAAAATGTAACATCTGAGTAAAGCAGTAACATTGCCATGGATTGACGAGTAAAAAATTATTGGGCCAGTTATGAGAAGAACTTGGAGCTATTCTGTATTTAAACTAAGACTATTTTAAGTTAAATACATTGGCTCTAATAAGATTGTTTCCATAACATGCTAGAATCTTCGCATCTTCTTCAGGTAGGGACTGTGGGGATGTCTTTTTTTATGCATGGTCAGTAAGCTGTCATTATCTGATAAAACTTCAAGCCAAATAATCATTTGCTGCTACTTAGGAACTGGTGTATCTCAAAAATGTTAGAATGAAAGAAGAGGAAAAACTGGTAGCATGTGATAGAAATAATAAAAATTACAAAGAGTTGCAGGAAGATAAAAGGATAAGAAAGGCTGAATGGAGTTAAGACTGCTGGAAGTTCAGGTATACTTTAAAAAGAGACTATGCAATGTTTTGTTTTCTGTTAATAGGCCAAACTCTAATAGAACCTCTAATAAAAATGTCTTTTAAAATAAGACTTTTCTAAAAAACCCATAATGCATACTGAGCATTTGCCAAATTATTATTACAAACCATATTGACTTTATTTTATTATGGGCTGCATAGCCATGAAAGTATTTTGCATCCTGCTGATTAAGCTTGCATTGTTGTTTGATTAGAGGTTTTTTTGGTTTGTTTTCCTTTTTTCCCCTTCCTGAATTTGCAAATAAGTATTTGAATAGTGTTCTCCTATTGTTAGCTGACATTGTTCAATATTTTGTGTACCTGGAGCACTTTAAGAATGATTCCCTGAAATTCAAAAGACTTCTCATGTTCTGTGATATTGTTTGTGCTTTTGTTATGCACAGAGGTAATATGCCAATTATATCTCAGGACCGTATACAAAGGTTGTGAACATCAATGTCTGTGCAGCTCCTATTTTTACGATAGGATGGCATAAAAATGTGTTTAGGTGAAATGCATGTATGTAATCCTTTCTTATTTTAGACACCTCTACAATAAGGAATCTTACAGGGGAGATTAAGGACAGTGAAATAACATGGCTTTTGCACAAATGTAATAGGACTTGTATCTTGTAGATTTTTTCCAGTTTCTATTAAGATGTTGAATAATTTTCCTTCTTAATGAATTTTGAGGGGGAAAAAAGTAGAGTACTGTGCTAATTAGCTGGTTGAGACCTTTTGAAATAAAAACGGAATTTAAAGTAATCCTTGACCATCTTAATTCCTTAAATGTTCTTTGGGAACAGACATGCTGTTGGTGTTGGTTTTATCTGTTGGAAAAACATAATCTAAGAATCATAATGTAGTTATAGAGGTTTCCTAGTGCTAGTGCCCTGTTTTATTTTTTGGTTTTCTGTAAGAGAAGCTGTTATTATTTAGGTCTTAATTGTGATCATTACTTCCTAATTGCTTTTTTTTCTCCATTTGTGATGGTGTCTTTAAATACAAGTTTGTCATAAAGTTATTTCTCCTATCTCACCTTTATTGGTGTATAGTAACAGCAGATCTGTATAATTTACAGAATGTAGAAATATGAGTGTATGTGATTGATGTGGAAATTGCCTTCAAATTAAATATTGCACAGTTGGCCCAAAAATAGAAGTGTAGACAACACTTTGTTGGATCTTTAAGGAATTTCATTAAGTTTTCAGATGTTGGTGAAAGTAGTGTTATTTGGGCCTTGCCTCATGAAAAAAGGGGAAAACTATGAACTTCAGCCTTCTTCCTGCCAGCTACAAGAAGAACAATTTTTCAGTAGAATGAACTTCTTTTTTTGCACATTCACTTAGAAGAGCACTTCAGTTAAAAGTAGTTAATAATTTATCTTCCTTGATTTTCCAATTGAAGTCTGTTACTCTGTTGAATTTTTTTTTTTTGGGGGGGGGGTCAGAATTTTTTGTTTTTCTTTACAATATATGGTAGATTTTTTTGGTATTGTGATGACTGTTACTGAATTTTGGTATTGTGATGATAGTTACTGAATTTTGTTTGCAAGTTCATGATTTGGGATTATTTTTGAACACTAATTTTTTGAACAATAATTATTTCTGCACTAATTTTGTCACACACTGAGTGAATGTTGGGGTAGAAGAGAAATATTTTGTCACCAAAAACATGTTTATGTTAAGTGCTCAGTTTCATGGTAGAGTTTTCCTATTTGGTTGGTTGCTTCTGTAGTTGGGTTTTTGTTTGGGTTTTTTTGGTTATTGGTTTGGTGTTCCTTTTTAGGGTTTAAGTTTTACAATTGAGAGATTATTTCATGTCAAGTTGCTGTTCCTTAGTCATTTGTGTGAAGTGTAATATCTAAAATTTCTGGGGATTTTTTATGTGCAGAATAAATTCCTTCCTATGCATAGGACATTTTAAGCCAGTATGATCTGTTAAGCAATTTTTTTTTGGCCTTGTAATTGGAATGGAATATTGTTGATGATTAGCTGGATTTTCTAACTATATTTTTAATTACATTGATGTGAATGGGGATTTGTGTCTTAGGGCTCTTACTTAATTCCATGCATTTATTGATTTTGATTTTGCACCATGTAATTTGCACCATATAATATCCTATTAAGATTTTCTCAAGCCAGTGGAAAGTGTAGCATCCTTATCTTGGATAATAAATTCTGTTAATTCTGTTTCACTGATGTTATGTTTTTTTTTTAATGTCGAGAATAAGTATTTTTAATGCTTTTTATATTTCTCTGTTCTTAAAGGTCACAAAGACAGAACTAGAGAAACTTAAATCTAGCTACAGGCAACTAATAAAAGAAGTAAATTCTGCCAAAGAAAAGTATAAAGAAGCTGTGGCTAAAGGTATGATTGACTTCATTTTGTATATTTATTAGTGTCTTTTTCAAACCTGCTAAAACACTTACAATGAAACAAGGTAATTTTAAAATATTTTTTATTCTGAGCTAGTTGATTACAATATGAGATCTAATTTAGTGTCTTAAGTAAGCCAGGGAGATTTTCATCATGTATGCTTGGTATAATCTCTTAAAAATTCATAAAATATAAATGGTGATTCTTTTAAGTTCTCATATGATTCCTTCAATGGATGTTTTTGAAATCTAAAATTGCTTGGATGTACTCTAGTCTCACCTGTGTTGTAGCTGCAGCCATACTTGCCTGTGAATTATTATTGTTGCTACAGTGGCATGAGTATCAGTTCTTGTCAGTGTAACTCATCAAACCTTTGTTAGCCTAATCTAAAAGAGGAAAATAAGTCATTTTCACACCCAGATTTTGTTTTTTTTGAGTGATGTGTTCAATCTGCATGGATTTTGAGTCCTGTTGAATTGTGCTTGAATGAGAAGCTAAAAGAGAGCCATTGTTCTATTATACATTGAAATATTGTGCTAATAATTGTTCTTATGTGTCCTTCGTAGATTTTCTTTTCTTCCTTTAGTGAAAATTGACTGACAGTATGTAAGTGTAATTCCAAGATCCATCTTAAGGTTTTGTATGAGTGTCTAAATGACAGTTAATGTTCTTGGTTCTGTTGTAATATAATTATAGTAGCTCTCAGTGAGAAGAGATTGTTTCTTTCCAGATTTGTCTCAAATTTGGACAAAACAGCAGGGCATAAGAAGTTACGCTTAGCACTCTTGAACTTTTACTGTTCATTTTCTTTTACGGAAGCTCATAAAGACTTAAAAATAAAAATGCATACTTTGATGTTAATTTGATCCAGTTCCGTGTTTTCTGTATCTAATTTAATTTGATTTAACTTGGTTTATTTGCAAGTAACTATTTAACATCAGAATATGTCGTATATATCATGAAACATATAATAGGATGTTTGGATCTTAGTATGTTATTTTTAGCCTGTTTTATCCTCTCTTCCTGTTAATAATCTGGTCATTCTCTATTCCTGAAGCACCAAACTTTCCCACTGGAATAAAGGAGTATTTTGTTTGTCAGCAGCTGTGATGCTTTGATGTGGTTTTGATTAACTGAATTAATGTTTCTTCAGATAGACAGCAAATATAAATTGTTTTTAAGACACTTACCTCCTGTGGTTTTCTTTGACCATCTCTTTCAGACTTTTATCTAATATTTGTCTTATTATAATTCATACTTAATTTCATTTTTGCTAAAATCTCACTTTGATAAACAATGAAGCCCATAAAAATGTTTCTCTCCCAAAAGTTGCAGGATTGCTTCTCTCCTGCTGCATCTCAGGCCCTGTTCCTGTTTACAAAGACTTGTGCATTTGATGAGCTACTACAGTTGCTTATCAGCTGCAGGTCAGCAGAGCCACTTGAATTTTTCTAAGTCTTGGTATTTCTGAGCTTTTAAGTTGTCATACTGGTTTGCTGGGGAAGTGGAAAGTTAGGGAGGTCTTAAAATTAAAATGCTTCGTTATTCCAGGGTATTTTTTATTCAGTAAGCTATGCTTATTCAGATTATGTGCTATTAAGATACATTACTTTTGTTAATGTAGAAACTGTTTCAGTTTTTCATGATTTTGAGAATTACTGAAAACAAGAGCAGAAACAGTGCTTACCAGAACAGTGGGAGGGCATAACTAAGTATTGAAGAGGAGCTGAAAACCATTTTGTTAAAAAAATGAAAATCTTTTGACCTCAGCTCTTGCAAGTAATGTGTTAAAATAGCCCTTCCAGGTTCATTTATATAAAATGTTGTTTTAAACAGAGTCTGTTCCTCTGTAGGGACTGTCCAAGCCTGTAAGGCAGTGACTGGCCTTGCCTCTCTGGAGCTAAAAATGGGAAAACCACCTCTTAGGACATAGAATTTTAGCTTTATGCTGGGGGTTATGTGTGTATTTGTCTAGCACCTGTATAAGCTGGTCCCCAGGAAAAGACAAAAGAAACAAGGTCTGACAAGTGTTTCTGTTTTGAAAGAGTAGTGATTTTGAAATGTAGTAGCTTTTTCTGCTTTGTTGTAGACTAGTAAAACTGCTTTTGGGTGAGAGAGTAGGTTCATTAGAGCTGCTAGTGAAAGAGGTACAATTGGTTCTTCAGCTTGTGAAGATAATTGCTTCCCAGTTTTCTAGTTGAGTTATTAAAAGATATTAAGCTCTGGGCTAAACACACACGGTAGATGATATTAGCTGATAAGAGTAAAGGTTGGCAAAGTTTGTACAGTGGAAAGTGATGTTATGATTTTCTGGAATCAGGAAGTAGTCTCAGGTAAATGTGAATTTCTGTGTGTGCTACTTTACACCAGTGAAGTGTAACTTTGAATAAATGACACCCTAATGCAAGGTTACAGGTGTTTCCATTTTTTGTTGAAAACACTAGGAGGACCATTGGAAAGATTAGCAAGTGTTAAGGACTGACTAATGATACTGGTTAGTTACAGGTTTTGTTAGTGTTTGTGCAATGGGTAAACTACATGATGGGAATTTTTTGATAGTTTTTTTAGTGGAGAAAAGGGAACTGATTTTTGAAGGAGTGCAGGAGCTTTATTATGGAAGACTTTGTGCTGTCCAGATCTGGAGGAAGATGAAAGTGTCTGAGATTCTGTCTCAGAAGCTGTTCTGGGGAACCCTCTGCTAGCATTGCTTCTGCTTGTGCACCAAGGGAAGCAGTGGGACAGCTGTGTTGCAGAGGGAACACGCAGAGGGAGCACCACTGAGACTTGGCTGCCACTTCCACCTTGGGCTGGGTTGCTCTGCCTTGTTATGACCACCAGTGTCTGCCTGATGGCTTAATCAGAAACGACTGATTTATTTTGTTTGTTCTAGCCCTTGCCCCAGTTAAGTCATGCATAGGTGCTCCTTTCTGGACCAGTGATTACCATAGGAAACACAAATGCAGTCTGGTTGGTTTTTGTTCTGCATGGAGGCTCCAGGTGTCAGGCAGTCTGTTAGTCATTTGCATGATAGTTTTCTACCCTTTTTTTCCCCAGACATTCATTCATATGGTTTTTAATGTATGGGAAGAAATAATAGGCAGAGAGAGGATGAAGTCAGCAAGGTGAACTAGTCCAGTGCCTCTTTAGTGAGGCATGCTTCAGTTTTTGGGACTCTATGGACAGATTGGATGCAATAGTCTCTTCTGGATTAGAAAGCTTTGTTAAAATAACTCCACCAAGTATATGTAGTGGGAATGCAGAATTCCCATACATATTCTGCAGAGTTCCTTTGCAGAACTGGGGCATTGGAGTCATGGGGCATGCAGGGGTCTTTGGTGCTAAAGATAAGACAAGATTTTATTATATTATTTTTCTATAATGAAATGGACAGCCCTGTGAAACATTCTGGATCTGTGATACTGACAAAAACCAGAGAAAACATTTTACAACAGCAGTCCAAAGTAACAGTCTCAGAGTATATACGCGGCTGAGTTTACAGGGCTGTGCTAATCAGTGATGCTGAGTAACAAGGTGATTAGAATGTGTCATATTGATGTTGGTGCTGTAGAAAAACACATCACGCCAAAATTTGTGCCAGATGGAAAAACCATGGTTTCACTAAAGAAGTCACAAATCTTCTGAAATAATTTAATGAATATGTATTAAGAATACAAAATATGGACTGTAGGACAACTGTAAGCATTGTGTGATATTTCATTACATTTTGAATCTCGTTTGGTTGGTTTAGTAACTGCTTCCACTTAAGTTTGCTGTTTGCACAATTATTTTTGTTTCTGCAGGATTGTGCATCTCTAAGTATAGTTCAGTGTGTCTGTGGGGGTTTCAAATATTTTCATCCTTGAATCTTTTTATTAAGCATTACTTACTGCCATATAAATAAAGAAATAATGTTAACATGAAACAATAATATAGTCCATTCATTACAGGTTTTTAAAGAAGTTGAAATGCTTCAATAAAATCTAGCATCTGTTTTAGCTAGTTTTGGCATTAGATATTGAAGTCTGAAAGGGTTGCTCATATATTGGTAAAAATTGGAAGTTGGAGCAGAGCCAGTGTCGCTTTGGGAGGTTCATACTGATTTTTTTACAACATATTCTTTGGAAAAAATTACAGTTTTTGTGTAAATGCATTAATTATGGATGTTTATTGTAGTCTTATTCAGTTCATTTCTGATTGAATGTAGAAAATACTTTGCAGTGTTCTTATGTGACACAATGGATCTGAAATAAATAATAAAGGAAAAAATACATGGATTCTAAGTACTTAATATTATAATTTCATTTTATGCTGCTACAGCAGCATAAAAAATATTTCACCAGATTTCTCTAGGCTTCTCTAGGCTTCTCTGACAACATTGTGATTTAGAGGAGCTTAGAAATACTAAGTGTGCACCTACCACATTATGCCACATTGCTTCTGCTGTAAGAATGTTTTTGCTGCAACTCAGGTGATTTAATACTTCAGAATTTATGTGACTTCTCTGGTACATACTGAAGCTTTACAGCAGCATAAGCTCACATCTATGATAAATAAGAGAGTTGTTAAAAAAGCTTTCATTAAATCAAATTATTGTCGTACTATTCTTTGTAATAGCCAAGTGGTCAGAAAATACTTATTAGATGGCTGGTGCATTCATTGTGAGGTGCCTTTAAAATTGTTATTATACAACTGGTGGCAAATGTTGCCTGTAGTTGTTGCTGCAATGAGGAAAACTCCTAGTAAGATTTTTTTTTAAGCTTAGTTTTGACTGAAACTCTCATATTGTTAAGACAAAACAAGTAACACTGGCTGAACTGGTCTGTCTTACTCACAGAGGCCAGCATCCTCCATAGATTTAAAATTAATGCTCTACTGCAAGTGTTTCAACACATATATGCTACCAGTGCTTTCTCTTGGAAGGGGTAGGGTTATTTCTTCTGTACAAAATAAAGCTTCTAGAGCAGGAAACCCAAGGGAGTGGAAAGAGATTG